GTTGACGGTCAGTGAACCGTAGAAGATAAATTAGGCCCAAGTTATTTGTATAGATATTGTCATTGCTTGAGGCAAGGGTATATATAACAACCAACATATGGGAAGGTTAGGGGTTAATATATTTGTCGTTAAAACCAACGAGCCTATTGTAGTATACACATTGAATTATAATGATACATATATATATATTAACATATCGCTGTCAACATAGAATGACCTAGAGCAACCTTTGGGCTTTACATCATATAAAATGAAAGCTACATGTATGTGATGCCCGTAGTTTGTCCAACGTCTTCCTATTTTGAATTTCCTAATTCTAACGCGTCAATGTGTGTTTGTCAATACACTGTAATAAATTTAGAATTAAAATATATGACGTACACGTATTTGATTTCTATTTGCTGCAAAAATTTAACTTCAGGAAAATATGGTTCTATCTAAACTTAGGGTAAAATGGGGGCGACAGGAAACCTTCGGTGCAAGACTATTTGAACCCTTGACAGGGCTAGTGACTTGCTCTCCCTGTTAAGGGGTTGATGACCGAATGGTTAAAAGCGCGCTGTATCATAAGGCCTGTCATTGAGTCAACTGGCGTGGTTTCGAATCCCCGTTTGTACGTGACAAGGAGCAGGGTCGCCTTTCCAACCTCGTGGGTTTTCTCCGGGTCCTCCAGTTCCCCCCCCCCACTGCTAATTAGTCCCGAAATGACAGTTTGTGTCGAGTGGACGCTAAACCCCATCACTCTCTCTCTCTCTCTGCCACCCAACCCCCCCACTGCTAATTAGTCCCGAAATGACAGTTTGTGTCGAGTGGACGTTAAACCCATCTCTCTCTCTCTCTCTCTCTCTCTCTCTCCCTCTCTCTCTCTGCCACCCAAACCCCCCACCCTGCCGAAAAGAAAAGTATAAAAATATTTTACAAATTGTTAACAGCGGCCCCTGCTATTTGATTTTGCAACCACTGCCCTCGGTCTTCAGATTCCACTTAAGAAAACATTATTGTATATCTAAAGAGTAAGAATTAAGTTAATGATATACTGTAATATATACCGTATAAAACAGAGATTTACATGTTATATTAATAACCACTTGCATTTAGAAAGATAAATGAAATGAAATGAAATGGGGTTTAACGTCCTACTCTTCTGCACCTAACCTGGGCTAATTGAAGACGGGCATACGCCATACAGTGTGCTATGAGGGAAATTTTGCCCGGGCAGCGGCGCTACGGCCTACTCTTATATCGAATTCCAACTGCCAAGGGATCTTTTACGTGCACGCCAATGTGTACACGAGACCTCGGTTTTTCGTCCCATCCGAACGACTAGGCAGATAAAACAGCTGTTTTATAGAATCATCCAGACTCTTGTAAACTTGTTGTATTCTAATTAATTCTATAAATAGATTTTATATTACATAATCATCTCCTTCCTGTTTATAACTCCCGCGTAATTCTCTTCTGGTGGGTAATCAATCAAAATTTCTCGAGGGAAAACACTCTATGAGTATGGTTTATATATGCCATGTTTGGATTAACTAAATGTATGTGATTCCGACGATTTGTATCCATTTTGGACCGCCCCCACCCCTTCCTTTAGAGGCCAATATCCGCGCCCATAACTTGTCGAGATACCTGATCGTGGCATTTTATATTTTTACGCGACGCAGGGCATTCTCTACAGATCTTTGTTAACTTTGAGATCCATGAGCTCCAATAAGTGCACCTACTCAAAAACATAATCTCCTGTTGTGGACCAAGCAAACCCAGTATAGGATCAAATAGCGAAATCGTACCTGAAACGTTCTTGGAAGTAAAAAACCTAACATGCCTCATGTATGATGCCCTTACAAGTTATACCCATATGGCTAAAACTAGACAGAGTTTATGGTGATAATATTGCTTTAAAGAAGTTGAAACTCCTTAATTTGGGTCATAAAGTATAATATAATTATAATATGTCGGGCAATCTAATTCGTTTATAAATTACATTATTGAAAGGAATAAACCGCTTAAGTGATTCAAGTATGATATGCTTAAAACAACTGTTGATTTGTTGTAAATTAAGACGCAAATTCTTTAGAATTATTAAATATCCAAAATCACAATTTTGTGTGGAGTGGGGCCAGTATTATCTTGTATTGCATAACCCAGCCGTCCTTTAAATTGTGCTGACAGAGCTGCACCAGAGACCCCAAATCCGCTATCTTTAATCTGCACGAATTATCTGAAGTAGCTCATTAGATATATATTCCCGATTGACCAGCTCCCTCCATTTCTTCCGTTCAATCGTCTCAATTTGTAAACTTAATCTATTAGCACTTTGCCGTGGTATTTGTTAATCGTCGTCCCATTTAATGGATGACGTAATTTTAATTAGAGGGTATTAATGAATGAATTACAGGGTAAGATGGCGTCATGGGGTAATTAAGGAAGTGTTGAGCTCAAGAAGGAGTGACGTTTAATGACGTAATCGTTACGCATAATTATTTATTATCCATGGCTTGAAACTATGTCTAATAAAGATGGTTAATGGTACAGGTTAAATGAAATTGGGTTAACTTTCCTACATGTCTGAACCGTCGACTGGCGTGGTTTCGAATTTTCGGTTGTACGTGACAAGGAGTAGGGTCGCCTATCCAACCTCGTGGGTTTTCTCCGGGTCCTCCGCCCCCCACTGCTAAAGACCCCTACGCGCAAGCGAATTATTGAAATAAAATTGAACCATATGTTAGTCTCGAAATGACCTGGTTTGTGTCGAGTGGACGTTAAACCCCCAATTCTCTTTCTCTCACATGTCTGAACCAACTGGGATAATACGAACGGTTAACGGTAGAAACAAAATCAGGAGGGGCTGATCGTCCTACGTTTTGGCAACAACTGGAATGATGAAAATGGGAAACGGTAGAATTGAATTCATCGATATTAAATTCTTGGGGCTTATTCTAAGAAAAAGGCTACAAGATAAGTCTAATATTTATACAGTATCTTCTAAAATTGTTGATTTTATCCGATTCCTCCCTTTTCCCCACGTTACCCTCCCCCCCTTTCTCTCTCTCACTTTAGTATTAATTGTATTTCCCTTAATGTTATTATTCGATTATGATAAATGTTCAACCAGTTTTCTTAAATTAGAATTAATCCGAGCAGAGTGTGTTTATATTGCAATATGGATTATACTCATTGTCTATGGGCTTGCTGGAATCAGTTATAGTTATATTACACGTATATCAAGTACAAGGAAATGGGAAGCGCAATGAGAATTATTATCTAAAGAATACCACAATGGTATTTTAAGTCGGCTTAACTTTTAATCATTTCCCGATAGCGTTTAATGTACATGTAGATCGATAAAAGATAGGTCTGCTTAACATCTTTAGTACAAGTATAATATTAGTGACGTTGTATTACATCATAGAGTCGATTTGTGGATTACGTCATAAACATATTAACATACTAAGAAGTCCTTGTAACGGAAGTTAAAATGTCAAATTCGGAATGGCCTACAAAGTTCATCTGGATTATCCGGCGTGGTTCCTCCCTGTCAGTGGTGCAGAACAAAGGGCTTGGTCAGGGACAACGTATAGTAGTTTGGATAGGACGACAAATCTAGGTCCCATCTTCACCTTGTCGTGCACGTTAAAGAGCCCTTGACAGCTGAAATTCGATAAAAGAGTAGCCCGTTCAAAATTTCCCCCATAGCACACGGCATGACGTATGTCCGTCTTCATTAGCCCAGTCGGTGCTGAAAAGTAGAATGTTTAACCCTAATTAATTTCATTTCTTTCATTTTATCACAAAATAAAGGAGAAAAATCAGCTTAGAAACCCTAATGTATTAAGACAATGCGCCATGTATTATTGTAGCAAATGTTCAACATCTATTTTACACGTCATTTGTTTTGCTTTAGTGACAAATCTGTTTCCTGTCGATACCTCTATTCATCACGTGATGTTTAAACTATCAATCTACACATAATTCTATTATAAACCACGATTGCTGCAGACGATCAAGATTAATTGAATTTGGCGCGGAATTCTGGCCTCAAGTACATACAGTAGCAGCCGATCTGTCAGACAAGTTGTCGTCTGCATATATTGTTTCTGCAAACGTCATTTAGTGCATACGTCATATATTTGCTGCTGAGAGCGGTGTGTGTATGTGATGAATAGGCCAATTAAATTACCGGTTTTATAATATGTTTTTATTGTGGTAGTTTAGTTGCCAGACAAATTGTGTTTTGTTATGCGATTTGTTACGAATTCCTCGACATAATCAGCGGTATAGTCACTAATTACGTAATTCAAACCCAACAAAAAGAGTCAAACCAAATGGCCTTGTTACTTTGGGGGTATTATGCCAAGACAGTGACCCCACCCCACGGAAAGCACTTCAATTGCCCATTTTTATCCGCGTGATTAAAATATAGAAATGAGAAATGGTTTGTTCCATTGGGTTTTGATTGGTACAGAAATTGTGTCCTCGTGAGCGTTCATCCTCAACCTTTCCAACAATTCCTGGAACGCACTAGGCATGGTCTTTCTATGGCGAGTCAGTGATCACATCAAAAGTGTGAGTTGATTAATTAATGCAAGCTGTACACGACTATCGTGTACGTGACAAGGAGTAGGGTCGCCTGTCCAACCTCGTGGGTTTTCTCCGGGTCCTCCGGTTTCCTCCCACTGCTAAAGACCCCTACGCGCAAGCGAATTATGTAAATAAAAATTAAACCATATGTTAGTCTCGAAATGACCTAGTTTGTGTCGAGTGGACGTTAAACCCCATTTCTCTCTCTCTCTCTCTCTCTCTCTCTCTCTCTCTCTCTCTCTCTCTCACGACTATCGCTCTCTCTTCGCTTTTCCTTTTCTTAGAACTGTCTCACTAGGCTATGAAAAAAATAAACACAAGCAATTTATTGTTTGGCCTAATAGGTTCAACATGCATAACATATGGACGAGAAAGTTTAGCTGGCGAACCACTGTACTGTATAGTGTTGTGTTATGTGTCGTGGCTTTAACAAGTTTTATTGTGTTTGTACGTAAACAATGAATAATAAGTTGATGTGGATATTTTAACGCAGTTGTGCTAAGAAAAGAAATATTGTTTCATACTGCAAGTCTTCCGGAATGGAAAGTTTTAATCACATATTGAGCAAGAGCCGAGGACAAGAAGTTGGCCTTAGTGTAACGCTACGCTGCAAGCCCCACCTACATTGTATTACAAACCGGACCTAAAGGCGACGTAAGTTCAGGGTGTAGTGGTTTCCTGACCCAATTTAAAAATCAGAATAACTTGAAACAAATTAGAACTCACGAAATCATATTCTTTGACAGTTATTCCCAAAACAATATTATTTGATATTTCGTTTCGTTAATTGTTGATGAAATTTGAAATAAATATTGTGACATGGGAAGTTGAGAGTGTAGGTTGGTGACCTGGATTGAAGATTAGAATAACAATAACTGATATGTTACTCGCCTCGATGATTCAAGAAGAACATTATATCAATATTATTAATGTTTAAAAAAGACATAACTTGAAATCGGTGATGCAGTAAATATACTACATGTACTTCAAATTGAGCAGTTTAATTATCAACACGAGATAACTTTTGTACTAACTACTTCAAATTGAACAGTTTATTAACGAGAGAAACTATTGTACTATCTACTTCTAAAGCCATAATTAGAAACGTTCGTTATTACTAGTAGTGTCTTGTGTTTTATCGTCTGCTTCCACAGCGACGTCTATTGCGTTCTGGCTAACTTTTAATTCATCTCGATCATTCAGCTTTAGGGAATTACAACATCTTTTGAGTAACAATTAACCTGATGTCAAATTTGTATGTGAAGTTGTTTTCGAATCACGAGATAAGAAGTAGCTGAGTATACACTTTCAGCTTATAGTAAATAATACCTTTCTGTAGTAAGTCTGGTGCCAAATCGTTTGTGTGTTTTTTCATGATGGAACGATAAGAGAAAAACGTAGCCTGACAAACATCGTGCACGAAAGCTGTCAACACTGCCAGAATAAATATATGGGTATAATTTTTGTGTTGAGATGAGACTCTAAGTGAGGATTTGTCTAACTTGATCGAAGTTTAATGATGCCGGCTATATGTTAATGAAGTAAATATACCTGGCACGTGCTAATCTACCTGTCTTATCTAATTCAAGCACCTGTTTTGTTAATTACCTTGACAACATTTTGATAGTCAATTTACACAATTATAAGTAGACATCAGATATATATAATAGTATATTTTTATGTGACAGAAACACCCCTAAATGTTTCATGCTATGTTATCAATCCTGCGTCGCTATTATATCTCCTAAATGCTTTATTAAGCAAGATATATTTATATTCTGCAAATTAGATACCGACTGTTCTTGACGCGGAAATGACGTTGTTGTGTTGAAAGAAATGCCCTATCGAATTACGACATCAAGAGTCGACATATGACGTAACAGTTCCTTTTATTTGTGATATTTGTTGATTGTGGTGGAATGTTGTTTTTAAAAGACAAATATGGAATAATAATATAAAGTTGACTATTAAAAATAATTCTATTTAAAGTGTTGATATTAATATGATGCAAGAAGGGATATAAGGGGTTTGTTGATGAATCATCGTATTGATGGCGGATTTACTGTAATCACGGATTTAAACCAAGTTATATTATTTTATTGTCACTTGTGATGTACACTACTGTAAGGAGTGAAATGGATGCTCATGAAATGACAGAACAGGTACGTATTAGAATTAGACATCAATTTTAAAAGTTAATATTTTTCAAAACAAAACTGAGACCCGGACAATAATATGTCAACCCTAATTCTGTCCTTTCGTTTTCATATCTCGGCTTGTCTGTAATGGCGTAAGTGTTGAATACGATATTCTATACATGTAAATGTCTACCTCTTTTTAAGTCCCCACTGTTTTGTTTACAACAGTGAACAGCTACAATGATACTGACTTCGTTATTTTATTTGATAACTCGTATCTGAGTCCATATTCAAAAAGCGAGGCCCCGTGTACACATTGGTGTGCACGTAAAAGATCCCTTGACAGTTGGAATTAGATATAATAGTAGGCCGTATTGCCGCTGTTCGGGCAAAATTCCCCTTCATAGCACACTGTATGTCGCATGCCCGTCTTCATTAGCCCAGTTCGGAGCAGAACCGTAGGACGTTAAACTCCATTTCATTTCTGAATCCATATGCACTGTAAACATACTATTCGTAACCATTCTATATTTACACTCACTATATACATATAGGATGTTTTAATCAGTCTGAATCCATGACAGGAAATAATCTACATTTGATATTTTGATTAAGTCATAGAAAATATGATATACATAGTTGACACTTCCTCGCTATAATAGTCAAAAATAGATAATGTAAACAGAATATGCTGACAATTTCAGTCAAATTGATCCACGCTGAACCGAGATATTAGCATTTGAATTTTAGGTCTAGCCTCGATAACCATTACTAAAGTCAGCACGGTGAAAAAAAACCACAATTTCTCGATTATCCATTTTTACGTTTAAATATTTTTCAAAAAATGTATTCCAATCCGCTAAATATCTCAGGCTAGCGATGGCATCGAGAGTTGATTATGGTCTGGATAAGTTAATCAATGTCTATTTAATAATATAGATAACATTTAAGGCCTCAAGAAAGACCTGCAATAGGCAGATTTAGCTCTTGCATAATGTATGTTTAATTTGCAAACAAAGGCTTTAATCTATAAGCGTGTGCCCGTCTTCATTAGCCCAGTCGGTGCAGAACAATAGAACGTTAAACCCCATTTAATTAATTAAAAGGTTGTGTTTGGGAGTGGTGTATATTTTAAATTGTTATCGGGGTCGATGCACCAGTGCTTCGGTATATGTAGTCTAAACATCGAACAACATGGCGTGTTGATTTAGTTTGTCTCCATTTCTCATGCTTAAACCAAAAGTTACAAGTACATGTTACAATGTATGCATAAATGAACATGTCGATTACGTAACTAAAGTGATGAAAGATAAATCTCTAGATGACATACGAGAGTGTGATGTCACATCGACATAGACGTTACAGTATCACACATTACCTATGTCACAACCAATGAACGTATATATGAGAGAGAGAGAGAGAGAGAGAGAGAGAGAGAGAGAGAGAGATTCTACATCTTCCCAGCGAAGGCCATTTCAGAACTAGTACCGTTTTATAATTATAATAATTTCGGTTGCGCGTGGGCGGTTTTAAAAAGGGAGAGAATTCGGAATACCCGGAAAGTACTAACGGGGTTATTTACAATGAAGACGACACTACTCCATGTCACAACTTATACATTTCACTTCTAGAATACCTAAAACGAAACCCATGAAAAGGTTTTAGCTAAGACTACAAGTGGCGCTGGCTTTTTACCATATCCCATTTAAAAAATCTCCTGAAGAGGGTATGGGGGGGGGGGGCGAATGGTTAGCGCGTGCGCGTTGTATCATAGGGTTTATCATTGAGTCAACAAGGAGTAGGGTCGCTTGTCCAACTTCGTGGGTTTTCTCCGGGTCCACCGGTTTCCTCCCACTGCTAAAGACCCCTACGCGAAAGCGAATAATTGAAATAAAATTGAACCATATGTTAGTCCCGAAATTACCTGGTTTGTGACAAGTGGACGTACCTTCAATTCATGAAATCCTTTTCGAGATTCAACTTGTGCAATGTTGTAGTTTGCAAGGGGTGTCGCAATCCCCCAAATGTTGTAGTCTTCAAAGGGTATCCCCCAAATGTTTGATTTGCATGCATGCGGTTTCTCAATCCTCCAAATGACATTCAGAAAGATACTTTAAAATAAGGCTCATTCCTCCTTTTCACCAAAATAAGATACATGTTTCTACAAATAAACTCATATTCTGATACGGTGGTATCTCCATTTTCATAACGATCACAAATAAAAGAAACGTAATAGAAAATGCATCAAATGATACATATTTCATTTATAAACTTCGTATCTAAACTGAAATCTGTGATTAAGTATTTTTCCATTGTAAATGTCAATTGCTATTCCACTTGTTTATTCTGGACTAATGTGGCTTGAAATGTTGTGACCTAGTTAATTTGTTTATTACGTTGCTGAAAGCAAGCTATAAATGGTGGGGAATACCTGACCTATATAATGTGTTTACTCAAGTAGATGGTTACTACACTCTCCACCACTTATGGTATAATATTGAACCATGTCCATTTATAAGTCTTTATAACACAGGTCCAAACATAGAACACCCCTTAACCCTGTCCTGCCCAGTGCTATATAATATTAGGTGTCTGTACAATATAGGTCGGAACGTAGGACAACCCTTAACCCTCCCCCACCCAATGGTATAATATTATGTGTCTGATCGGAACACAGGACGTCCCTTACTCCTCCTCCACTGGGGGGTTTGGGTGGCCGAATGGTTAACGCGTGTGTGTTGGATCATAAGGTCTGTCATTGAGTCAACTAGCGAGATGTCGATTCCCCAGTTGTACGTGACAAGGAGTAGGGACGCCTGTCCAGCCTCGTGGATTTTCCCTCGGTCCTCCGGTTTCCTCCCACTACTAAAGAACCCTTACGAGCAAGCTAATTATTGAAATTTAAATTGAATCATATGTTAGTCCCGAAATAACCTAGTTTTGTTTCTTGTCGACGTTAAACCCCATTTTACCCTTTCTCGACTAGCTACCAATAACGTAACAGGAAAAGAGTAATTACTCTGTTCTGTGACCCCCTGCGGACAACTGAATGTAAAGTAGCATAGACGAGAATATGATTGCTGAAAACATCTAAAGTATAAAATAATGCATTGGCAATAAAATATATTCTAATGATAATAGGTTTGACATTCGACAAGAAATAGTATGGATTATTCCATCAAATCAGTGTATGTTTGATTTAACCGTTATATTAGAAACAAAGGTTAACTGTTAATAATCGTGGAATAAAATAAATAACACCCGATATGTTCAAATATATATACACCATGAGTTACGTTATATACCGTTTTTTATTCCACGAGTTAATTTATATCATGAGTTACTTTATATACCGTGTTTGTGTATCATGATTTAATTTATATATATCATGAATTATTTTCTATATACTATGAAAGTTATTTTATATACATTGAGTTATTTTATTTTTGATACATCCTGGGTTATTGTATATACCTTTTATATATACCACACATTTTATTTTTATACGCCCACATTGAAATGTGGTCGTATATTGTCGTCGCCCACAATTGCTTGTGGACGCTCTAGAGGCTAAAGTAAATATCCGATTGACTTGAAATTTATATACAGTGTTTAAGGCCATGAGACGAAGAAGCCTATTGATTTTCAACGATTTCCGATAATTACTGCCAGAGTTATGGCCCTTGATCACTTCAAAAAATCTTGTGGACGCTCTAGAGGCCAAAGTTAATATCCGATTGACTTTAAATTTATACACAGTGTTTAAGGTCATGAGACGAAGAATCCTATTGGTTTTCAGCGATTTCCGATAATTACTGCCAGAGTTATGGCCCTTGATCACTTCAAAAAATCTTGTGGACACTCTAGAGGCGAAAGTTAATATCCGATTGACTTTAAATTTATACACAGTGTTTAAGGTCATGAGACGAAGAATCCTATTGATTTTCAAAGATTTCCGATAATTACTGCCAAAGTTATGGCCCTTGATCACTTTGAAAAATCTTGTGGACGCTCTAGAGGCCAAAGTTAATATCCGATTGACTGCAGATTGATACACAGAGTTTAAGATCTTGAGACAAACAAGTATATTGATTTTCAATGAATTTTTATGACTTGGAACAGCTAAATTCATGTTACAGTATTAAAAGTTCTGTATACAAAACGTTAGCATGGGGCAGAACTTTATAAAAACCAAACAAATTCTAATGGTTTTCTGAGTTGTTGCTCTTAATCAGATTTTAGTGTATTATAAATGCTTCATTACCGAAAAAAGTAAAAATATGCGACAACTCTTGTTGACTGCCCGGACGATTTAGCTGCTGTGGGCGTATGTTTCGTTGCCTGGCAACCTATTTTATATTAGCGAGAAATATATGTAGCAAGGTTTGTTTTATTGTGTGAATGACGCTCCCTTTTTTAGGATTAGTTTTCAGTTTGATTTAATATTTGATGTTTCTCTGTCTGTAAGCCTACAAGAAATATTTTACTCAATTTCTGTATTTGGGGTTAACAAATGTTCGTTTGGCAGAAAATGATTTTGATTAAAGAGTTGAAATTGAAATGAAATGGGGTTTAACGTCCTACTGTTCTGCTCCGAACTGGACTAATGAAGACGAGTATACGCCATAGAGTGTGCTATGAGGGAAATTTGGCCCAGGTAGCATCCGAACGACTAGACAGCTGTCCCTGTCAGGCCCTCCGTCCTGCACGAGTTGAAATTTGTCGTAATTGATAGTTTTCTGGTACATTGGAGGACTATATAAAATATATGTTTAGTTTTATTTGAGATTAATATGGGTGTGTTTTTTATATGGGAATAACATTCCGTTTAAATGAGTGGTTTTGTTGCACATCGGAGGATTATCAAAAATACATATCTTGTTTTTCTTTCAGCGAATTAGGCATCCACAAATTTATTTTCTACCTAAGCCTTCACTATTGTTTAGTTATTGTGTGTGTTTGTATTGAGTAATAGTGTTACTTAGTGTATCATATGACCGTGAAATTAGATACAAGGACATATT